GACTCGCTTAGGTTGATAGAGGCCCAAAACGTCGAGATTTGAAAAAAACCAGCGGATTCAGTTTGACACGATTATAACCCAATACTTTCCCGTATTATGTATAACAGCCGGGAAAATAAAAGGATACAGTTGCAACCTATTTTTGGGTATGTTACCAGATCATGAGGCCAGATGGTAAATTTGTCCTCTAGTAGTCTAGTTCACTGTTTTTAGCCTCTCTCTTATCAGTAATTACATGCGACTACGAATTATACTTATTATTTTTATATACGCTTATGTAGAGTTATTGTAAGTAATAAAGAACATACAGTAACTAGATTACTATGTAAATACCGATAATCAACTGCAGTAGTCATACGGTCAAATATTTTTATGTGGACCGGTGAAATTTTCTCGAGGACCGGCGGTTGAAAAACACTGTTCTAGTTGATTTTTGACCTATATAGACCTATACGAATATAAAATTATAAATTACGTGTAAATCTGTATCTGAATGTTGATATCAGAGGTCTAGATAGAATAAAAACTCAAACAGGAACATAATCAAGAGTTACAAATTTATGTATGGTTCTACGAATGAAACATTTTTCCCGATATTCTAAATTAGAATTAATTTCTAATTAATTAAATCAGTCATTAAATTTTCTACAAGATAGCAGAATCGTCTATCTTTTAAAGCGTTTTACTTAATTATAACTACGATCCTTAAAACAACTTTTAATCTGCGAGCACATTTGGCCATCTTATAAATATATAGAATGACAGTAATGACAATACTCCCGATACAATAATAATTTAGGTGTGAGACTGCGTTTATGCAAATGCGAGAAATGAACGAGGAGAAAGAACAGAAGAGGGAAAAGCAAGCGAAAAAGGTCACGCACCTACAGGAGTATCCTTGTTACGTTCGTACAAAAGCGGAAGGAAAAGTTAGATTTTACAACGTGTGCATAGGTAACCCTACATCTGTCTGTCACACTACTGCGTGTGCGCCAACCTCGGGAGAAGGGAGAAGTATGCAAAAGTTCAACAGATTGAACTTTCTTTCGTATTTTTCCTCTTCTCTCCCGAATTAGAGCCCTCCCAATAGTTCGGTAGCCTCGCTTCCGCGCGACACCAATATAACGGCGGCGACGATGGACCACACCGGCAATCCGTCGAAAGTGAAGAAAATGGTCCGAGAAGAGCTGGAAGAAAGGACGTGATGCCGACACCTACGACTGAAATGTTGTAGACGGATGTAGCGCTGTCCTCTATCGGCGTCCGCCACACCTCAAGATGAACGGTAAAATCATAAAGGTAAAAGAGACCCTCAAATATCTCGGTGTAAACTTGGATTTTAGGTTGTCTTGGGACAAACACGTAGAGCATATAACGAACCGCACTGGGCTTATCCTGCAGTCCTACGCCCAGGTGGCGAAAAATAACTGGGGATTGACCTCAAATGCAACGTCAATCATTTACGATGGGATATACTTGCCTATTATGACTTATGCCTGTGGCACCTGGGGGTGGGCCACAAGGAAGGTACACACAAATCGCAAACTGATATCATCACAAAGACGTGCGCTTATCCTGATAGCTAAGGCATTCCGAACCGTTAGTAACAGGTGTCTCCAGGTGATTGCACGGAAGCCGCCCATAGACCTTGCTATCCTTCAGAGACAAAAGTACCAATTAATTAAATGGGGTGAGAACATCCAGACTACAACAAGCACAATACATCATGATGACATTGAATGGCCTATCCCATTTCGCGAATCTCTCCCTCCCAATGAAAGTACAACCGACATAGACAACACTAGTGAATCATCTAACATCAATATTTTTACGGACGGGTCTCGTATTAACAACTCTGTAGGATGCAGCTTTGTAATATATAACAACAATTCAGAAATCTCTCAACAGACGTTCCGGCTGGATGATAGGTGTACTGTATTTCAAGCCGAACTATTCGCTATTGGGAAAGCAATCGACTATGTCAACCAGACCTATGAGAATGTAGCTGTCGACATATACACTGACTCTCTATCTGCATATAATTTAATTAGAAGCAACAAACTACATCCACTGGCCGTAAAAGTTAAAAACTTGATTAAAAAATCGAAATGCAATATATACATTTCCTGGGTCAGAGCCCATCAGGGCCTGAAAGGCAACGAGAGAGCGGATACTCTGGCTAAGTACGCAACCACGAAAGATAGCAACAATACTGAATATAACAAAATTAGTCAACAAACACTGCGGCAACTCTTATGGAAAGACACTTTACTACAGTGGCAAACCACATGGGATCACGATATGCAACACATAACCCACAGGTTTATTCCGGACTTGAAGAAATTTATTAGCATAGACTGGTATACTCCTGATTATTGCACTACCCAAATATTCACCAAGCACGGCAAGTTTGCCAATTACCTTGTCAGGTTTGCAAATAGGACTTCTGGTCTTTGCCCTACATGCAATGTTGAAGACGGTCCTGAGCACTATATATATGACTGTACCGCTTTTGAACGCGAAAGGAATGAATTAAGGATTCTTATTGAAGAACAGGGCATAGAATGGCCAAGCAGTCCATCGGATATCTGGCTAAACAGAGAGATCTACAACAACTTCAAACAATTTGCTAAGCAAATTTACTATGTTAACAAAACCAAGATCTACAGCTAACGCTCTGTGTTGGGACATTTTTCGCCCCCTGTTCTTTACAAGGTAACCACTACACACAAAAGAACCGTCACGTGTCTTCTAAATATATATGGAGCTCTTCTTACCAACAATGTATACTTTGTATATATCTTAAATGGTTTTTTTTTGTTTATTTTTATTTTTACTTTATTTTCTGTACACCTCCTACAAGTGTTAATTTTATGTAATTTACCTAATCGCAATGTATTCTAATCTATACTGTCAACTTGTTCCCTGGTAATGCTTCATGCGGGGCCAGGGCATGTACAATTAATGTACTAATAAAATATATTGAGTGAGTGAGTGAGTGATGTAGCGCTGTCTATGGACAAGTGTAAAATTCATCGGACTTCTTCCCGATTTTGCACCAATTCAACTAGAGCGAAACCAAGAAGAGTAATCCTGTTGGATTCCATCTGTTTTTTTCTCTTTTTCTTGCATTTCCTGCGTCTACATAAACAGCCTTAGACACGCGAAGAAAAGCCAGAAAACTCCACGCGGTCAGCCTGTTAATCAGGCTCTAATCACGACCAGTATTAAGTGATTTTGTCCACCCGGCTAATATAATCTGAATATGAGGACGCTAAATGATGTAAGCTTGTAGATCTTATTTGTATTTACTTATTTATTTGTGCCAACTATGATTTCCATAGCTCGATATCATATGTTTAATACATATTTGTATTAAAATAAATACGCTTATGTATTCACTTTATTTGTATAGGTTATAACCTATACATTATTATTTTCTTATGGTAAAAATAAATTTCATACCGAATGATTGTCGATGCGTTGCTTTGCATTATCCTAACATCCAGTTTAGTTTCACTGCATTCTTGAATAACGGCTTATTTATTGATGATTTCATATCACTATTATCTATTCCGTCGAACTCTTATTCTGTGAGATAATTAGCCCAACATTACACGAACGTCTCGTCTCGCCTTACCAAAACTAAGAATTGAATTTATCAGCGGTAGCCTTCAAGTTTTCATTAACCAAATCAAAACATTGCCAAAATCTCTGTGTTCAATTTACCTATTTCGCTAATTTTAATGACTGCTATATTCTTGAGGATCAAATCGGAGTATAACACTCGTTTATTTTATAAAGATAAATTTAAAATGGGTTAATTTTAAACGTTTGAAAATTAGCTAGATATATTTTCTTTAAACCAGGGGTCGCCAAAGTGGTCGATATCGACCCCCAGGGTCGATGCAACATCATGGGGGGTGATGCGTCTAGGGGGTCGATCAGGGGGTCGATGCGGCTAGGGGGTCACAATCTTTTTTTTTTGCTTATACAGAGACCACAACATTTTTTTGGCTCATACACATACACTTGTAATAAAAATTTACGGTGGGGGTCAATGTGAGGCTTTGGAAAGTGGTTGGGGGTCGACGGTTAAAAAAGTTTGGCGACCCCTGCTTTAAACAGTTATTTAAATGTTCTCGTGCATTTGAATTAAGATTAAGTATGAATAATTTCCGGAAGATTCGGGATGATTACTTAATTGTTTTCATTAATTCATTTCTGTAATGATAAAATTATTTTACAACTTTCAATAGATTTTTACTATTATGTACACAAATTGTAATCTGATCTCTGTCATATCTGTTATTACAATTACAAATATTTTTCTTCCTAAATATTCTGGGCTAAAAATGGGGGTGCGTCGATTAAGCCGCAAAAATATGGCCATTAAATGTTTATTTTTTCCTTCGCAATTAATAAATTTCGAATAAATTTACTCGAAGAATACGAAATTGTAAAATTTCCATCCTGTGTAATACTTCATCTTTTAAAAACAGAATACTAGAAAAGTGTATTTACTCTTTTAATCTTTTGATTAGTTGTAGAAAACATCATACGTCAATATCCGTGTTTCGATGACAATAACCATCCAACATAGATATTGAAGGATATCGTTTACAAAAGAGAAAGTGCATTTCATAATACTTACTTTGAAGAAGTGCAAGAAAATAGTGAAAAATTTGAAGACAACAAATATACGTTGGCAGAAATGTCATTCTTTGATTATATACACACTTTTCCCGATGTGATATGTATTTTTCTTGGTTCCTTTTTTAGCAAATATTGCCAAATTTTTCACAATATCCAATACCGATATACATTATACATATTTACAGAACGTGACAATATAGAAAACATTAAAAGAGATAAATTTCGGAAAAATACAATATCACATATTGCAAACAATAACGTTTTTTGAACACATTTTTTTTTCTTGGATGGTAAGTAACAGTGAGGAAGCTACAAAATATGAAACAATCGGTATACTCTTTCATAATAATTTTCAAATCAGGAAAAACAATGCTCTTTTTATAATCACAGGCACCATTTTCAGCGATGTTTGCGCTGCTGTTTAACGAATTCTTGAGCTTCTTTGTCCCAAATTCGTGATTCCAAAGTCAGGATTATTTCATCTGAAAGAAAGTTATCGTAAGTTCCGTTTAAGTTTATCAATCCGGCACCCGATAATCCGAATTATCCTATTTGGTAGGCGAGTATTCCGTGATCTGGAATTCACTCGGAAACTCGACGCGCTAAAGATCCCAGGGTGGAAATCGAGGCGATGGTCTTGCACATTGCTAATGTTGGGAGGTTGACCACAGGGTCTGTGAGAAACTAGCCGATAGGTGTTACAAACGTGATAAAAACCCGGTAAACTCCACTTGACCAGCCCATTGATCAGGCACGAACCCACGATAGCAGTTTTAGTGTTTTTTTCCTCTCGGGCACTGGGGGGATGGATAATCGGCATCAATTTGGTCCTTTAATTGCCGGATTAACCAACTTCTACTTTACTAGTAAATTTATTCACTGTTCTGTATTGATATATTAAGTTACAAATAGCAACGAAACCTTCAAATCCACCCAGTTGTAACCTAAAATTTATTACATACAAAGACTATATCTTTTAATTTTAAATTAGGCCTGAGAAGTGCCGGATCCAGAAAAGAACTTACAGAAGCAACCCATAAAATAAAATGAAGTCCTAAAACTTTTCCCGAGACCTTATAAAATTGTTTAGACTCTAGGATAAAAGCGATCAAACAAGGACTAATAATAATTATCAAATTGAGCGAATTTGCGTAAAGTTTGCAATACTTACCCTTGTTATCGGGGTGCATTAACAACAATTCTATGGGTTTTACGTCTTTAATGGGTTCGCCCTCAACACCGGGAATACAAGCCAACGAAAGATAGGTTTCCCCTTCGTAATCGTTTCTCGTCATCATATCGTGATCCATAATCGTAAAGCACACTGCAGTACCTTCTCTTCTGCACATTTCTGTGGTTAGTGCGCTAAAATTTTAAAATAAAGAAATTTTCTAGTAAACATAAGAAATATTAATTTAAGCCGTAAAGAAATTCCTTTACAATTCAAAGCTTTCATCAAATAAAGGAAACAAAGTCTTCTTCTGTACTTTCGTCTTCTGTTTGGGACAATCGTGAAAGAAATGCTTTGGTACCAACTCTATTATTACAAAAGGATCGCTGAAACCTATTTAAAAATACAATTAATAATTCATTTCTCATCAACACCATTGAATTCATTTCGAAGTAACGATTTGATGTTTGAAATACTCACCGGTGGGATCGAGCGGAATTAAATCTTTTGCATTTAATACTGAAAAATAAATAGTTGTGTTATATAAATTCCTTATATATTCAAATATTCTTTCTACTTTTTACTTACCATCTATACAGAGGCTCTCTGCAGCAGCATTGTAAAATGCTTTAATGGTCAAACTGCCATAATCGGATTTTTGTAACTTTTGCTAAAAATAAAATTTGATTATTTAAAATATGTCCAGCTTCAAAAAAATATTCCACGAATATTAACTTTTATTTTCGCAGCTTTATTATATTTTAATTTGTACCACTTTCAATCATTTTCGTAATTCTTAAGTGTTTATAATTATTATATTAATATATTAAATACTTCTTACTTGATCTTCTATTCTTTGCAAACAATAAAGTTCAATAAGATGTGTTGTATCAGACTTGTGCAGTTTCAATAAATGATCTAATTCCTAGAATTTCACCGAGGGAAAAAAGAAATTTTGATCCTCTCCAAACTATTTATTAAAAAGAAATAAATAATATCCAACCAACCTGGTAGGCAGCGTTATGAACAGTTTGCAAGGTAAGGCCTTTACCGTTGGCATGGAAAAATTCCATGAGGCAAACTAAAGATGCGGATAATCTTTCAAAAAATGCTAATTTCTCTTTCTGTAGGGAAAGTTTATGGATATTCGCACTTTTTATAATTTTATTAGTAAGTTTTTTAAAAACTAATTAATCAATCAATTAATTCTAGTAAAGAAATATTTCTGATTTTTCTTTTTTCATTCATATTTCTGGATTAGCTTTCTCGAAAAAATTCAGAAATATTCCTTTAGGAGGTGAAGAATTAAAGATAAACTTTAAACAAATTTAAATTAAGTTGTTTGACATCATCGAAGTTAAACCATCTTTTATGAAAATTTAATAATTTGATAGTTATAAAACCTTAAAAAATAGCTTTTTAAAACTTTAAATTAGGCCTACTTATTTGCATTCGACTAGCTTACAGTATACAGTATATATATATAGGCCTATATGTACACGGTAACAATATGACTAAAGGAAATGGAAATTACAGTACAATAAGTTTAAATATACAGCATTTTATAAATTGGGACGATAATAGGCCTATAAAAGTGGATTATTGTAAGATAATAAATATTTTATACTTTAGAGATATGAAATAATTTTTAATTGGAAGATACTATCCAATTTCAGGAAGATATCATTAGGCCGCAGGTTATACTTCAAGTTGAATACTATACTCGGCATAAACGTACAGTACAGTACAATCTATACTAATATTATAAAGAGGTAATGTATGTATGTATGTATGTATGTATGCAAGTTTCTTTGCAGCAGGTAATCTCCGAAACTACTCATCCGATTTCAAAAATTCTTTCACCAATATTTAGAATGGAACCTTAGGATGGACATAAGCTGTATATTATTCCGTTAAACATTCGTATAAATTAAAATATATAATCTAGGTTAAGGCTTTTATGTCCAACAGATGGCGCTACGAGTAGGACGCCCTAAGTTTGCTTTTCTGTGAAACATTATGCTTTTCTGTGAAAATGAACTAAAGCGGATCATCATCTATCTATCTATATAAATGAAAATGTAATGCTCCTTTGTTCCTACCGAATTTTGACACAACGCTGCATTCGAATAAGCACGTGTTTTTATATAATATACGTGTCGAAATTTCCCCCACTGAAGGGAGATGGTTAGGATTAAGGCTTACCGTAAAGAACTCTGCTTCTATTTATACTATTTTAGATGCAGTTTTTTTTGCGTTTTAATAGGGTAAGTCAACAGAATGTACACTAAGAAGAAATTTTTCGAAAAATTCCCCCCACACGGGGAAGTGTTATAAATTTATAATAGATACATTTTGAGTCACAACAACGCGTGGCGGGGTCTGCTAGTAATACAAAAACGAGTAGTGCAACCATTGTAGATACGTTTCCAATGTATACAACGTAGGACACGCGTTAAACCAAGGTCCCTAAACTTCTTTGGCCGTCAACACCAAGGATTCCTCGACATTGCCCTTTCTTCCTTTTTATTTTTTTTGCTAATAAAGTTAATAATAAATAAACCTCGCGAGCCGGTATTAATCCACACATCGTTTTAATACGAGTAGAAAAGATCTACTTATTATGTGCAAATACATCCTAGATCTTCGAGGACGCCATCGTTTAGTAAATGCTTGATTTTGTTTACTGATGGGAGATAATTTTTAATTGAAAAAATAGTAGTAATAAGCCTATGAATATACGACAGGTAGCGTGAGATATTAGCGAGGTTGTAGCCGAAGTTTTCAACGCGAAAACGTCGCTATTCTCTCTTCCGTGTGCTTGCGTTCCTCTATACAGTATTTACAAGTTATTAGCTTGAGAGATAAACAAAGCAATTCGTAATCAATTAAATTAGATCCAGGTGGAGAGCGATCATAAAACCACTTGCCACGAATTGTGAAAAATAACAACTCAACAAGTAAACAAGGGAAGGACGACCCTCACGTTTGGGTCAGCGCGGACGTGAAGGAAAGCTTCGTGCTCGACTTTCCTTCTGATTGATTGGAAGTTGACTCCCGAAAAACCTTAAATTTAAATTGGGGGGACAGACCGGAAGAAAAAAAAAAGAGTGGAGGGTACTGACAGCACTTAGATCTCAGCAAGCCCGCCGAGGACAGGGAGAGAGGTGGCAATCCTCTCTCCCTAAAGGAAAGTAAAGGAAAGCTTTACTTATTAATGATTTAGATAAATGTCTTTACTGAGAAAATAGAGCAGAAAATACGAGTTCGTAACTCGAGACTGAAACAGAATAAATATAACTTTTCTACAATATTTTATCGGGTCTCGTTAGAAGCCACAAATGGTCACATGTTCGAAAACTGTATTTTTGTGTAAAAAACAAGAAGTATTTATTAATATAGCCTAAGCCGACAAATAACATGCTCGAAAACGATCGAACAGATATCTCGTCTCGAAAATGGTAACAATATTTAGTGAATTTTTATTATTTATAGACTATATGTTATTCGTGCTGTAAACGTCGATAATAAACGGCGACAGCTGACATTCACCAAACAGATGTGGCGAATGTCAAAAATTAGATATTTTACGGTGTTCTGACAATCACAGGCAACGCGTGGTGAATATCGAACTTTATCTTAAAAACTATACCGCTGATTTATGTCGAAACTATAAGACAGAGTTTTTCAACCTTCTTGAATACGCGATCCCTTTACAAGTTACAAACTTCTGGCGACCCCCCCGGGCCACATTAAAACTATCAGTAATTTTAAAAACTACGTATTTAATTTTCTTTCTGTTAAGACCCAAATATCGATCGAAAAACCAATTATACTGTAAAATAAACAGGTACAGCCTTCTCACTAAAATTGTAGTTTTTTTTATTGTAGTGTAGGACCTACAAACACTTGCCTTATACGGGGGGTCGCGGGTAAAAGAAAAATCTTTTACCCGCGACCCCCCCGTATAAGGCTTTTCGACCTCCCTGGGGGTCGCGACCCACAGGTTGAAAAACACTGCTATAAGACAAAGTATCACTGCTAAAGAGATTAAAGAACAGATAATTTTTATAACTTGGCGTATGTAGTGTGATTTACCCGCAATCGCTCTCGAAAAACACGATCGTGATGTACAATTAAATTCTAATTACATATTAATCCACGCATATTTCTAAAAAAAGAAAGGACGATAGAGTCTCAGTCAGAAAGTTAATAAAACTGACAGCTTTAGACGCATACATTTTCATTTTTTCATTTGTGTTCTAGAAGTTTATTGTGTATTATATATGGCCACAGTAAGAGTTTAGATATTGTACGTATTTAAACCCTTTGTGTAAAACATGTCTAGAAGTGTCGATAGTTGTTTTTATTGTATGAAATAAAAACTTTCACGGAAGCATTTATAGTGGCAACGTATAAGCCGTTTTTTTTTCACTTTAGCCACGCATATACAAATGTAATTGTGTTTTGGCATGTTTTTCGAGGATATTTGTATTCTGAATTTAACGTATTTTTCGTCGAAAAACGAAAAATCGAGTTTCTACCGCCTTCCGAGAGGACTTTCTATGGGAAACTGATCCTAGTTAGTTATTAGCGTCGAATAACTGCACGTTGATCAGGTTCGAATTAGTTTAATCCACTCGGACACTGGTGGGCGTTATTCTAAATCTAGCAAGGATATAATCTATTGTTATTTGCGCTTGTTTAAAAAAATAATAACAGTAAATGTTCAGAGAGCAAAGGAATGAAAAGTATTATTTAAAAAGAATTTGGCTATTATTTGATTAATGATTAAAAATTATTATAATGTTTAAAACTAACAATATTCAATATTTTGCACTTTCCGGTTGGAAAATATTGTTTAAATATAATATAAAAAATTAACAAGAATTTAGTTTTAATTACTATTTGAAGAAATTAAAATTAGTTGAATACAGTTATTCTCACCAACGTACACCAGTGTTACTTCTGGCAGTATGAGTCAGTTCGTGCAGTACTACGGTCCACAGAGTTTCCAAAATCCTATCGAAGTTGGCGGTTAAAGTATTGTTATATAACGTTCGTAGTTTTTCGTCCAAAAATTCCAAAAGAGGGCTAATTGCCTGTAAATGTAGTTGTTAGAATTCGAATGGTATATTCGATATTTATGAGTATAAAACTTACACTGTCTGCGTCGAGTTTCTCGGGAGCCCAAGCCAGATGGAAGACAAATTTTTTAATTTCGGGAAGCATCTGTAATGTCAATGCCACGTAAACATATTTAAAGAAAATCGCTAAAATGCTAGTTAATTTGTACTCAAAACTTTATAACACACATATATATATAAATAGATCTTTTTATGTACTTTTTCTTTTTTTAAACAGACCGGATTGATTTAGGTCATCAATTCAGTCTGTTTAAAAAATCTGCCAAGAATTCTTCTCCGGAGGACTTACTTTAGTGACCAGTTTCGCAAAGAATACTCCGAACACTCCCTCCACATATTATACACATAAAATGTATCGCCATTTGTTAGCCGTTCACTTCTTAGGACTCTCTGAGAGGAGAGGTCTATCACTCACAGTCCGAAACCTATTTACAATTAAAAGAAAAGCTGCCAGATGCTGCCACGCAGCGACATAACTCCAATTTACGTGATTTTGTCAGTCCGTGATGTAAAATTTATCCTTACGGAAAACATTCTTAATTAAGAAATCAATTAGCCTACTTCCGATGCTGCGGCTCGACTTAGTATTAACTGAAGTACACTGCAAAACGCCAATACGCTGTGTTATGACTGTTGAGATTTTGAAAACACGAAACACCCAATACTCTCCACTCGGTTTGTACCGCAGCTGCGAGTTTTTTTCATTTAAACTGGTAAAAATTTTTGTAAGAAGAGCGAACTAAAATATCCTGCAGTTTTTAATGGGGGCTACGACTTGACTAATCAGACTCAAATTACAGCTTTCCCTAGCCGTAATTTGAAGCGTTATCATCTTTTTGGAAAGTTCAATCTTCAGGTTTAAAACGTGACGAATCTAGCAACATCTTGTCCACCAGCGCGCCTTAATATTTTATAGAATCAATCGTTATTGAACTAAAGATAATTGGCATAGTTCCTCGAGTAGCGTAAGCGATCCAATCCACAAAGCATCCTCCACTAAAATTATACAAACAAACCTTCTAATTACTAATGTCACGAGATTACCACGAGATTAGTCAATGTTAAAATAACTTTTTTCGACAGAAAAACACGTTATAATCCCATTTAATGAAAAACCCGATGCATTTCGACACGCTTTACTTAATATAATAGAGACTTAATTTTGACATAAGTTTTAACTCGAAGCCAAAGCAGTTCATACAGTTCGGCTCGCGTAGTTTAATTGTATTTCGTTTACAACTGCTTATGACTTTTTTCGTGTATTACCAGGCTTAAACACGACCTTTTCTAGAACGTTAATGAATTTAATCTCCCAGTTCTCATTATCGTTCCATAGCTGATTCCCCAAAGAGTATTTAGACTACTACAATTTGAACTTTCTGCTCCAATTAATGTAGAGGTTTTCGAGGTCAAAATTTATTCTTTCTAAATGACTTTCTTTTGACATTCTTTAAACAACAGGTTTTAAGTATAACAACTAAGAGCGGCGTAAATAATTGGAAGATGAGTAAAATTTGCATAAAAGCTAAAGAAAATTGCATTAAATTCATTAAACGGCCTTTATACTAGTATAATGTAGTAATCAGTTTAATGTTTTCGGATAAAAAATTCGGCCAAAAATCTTCATTATTATTAATATACCAGTCTGTTTGTGGTTTCATTTGTTGTCTTTCTTTCTCAACAGATGGCGGTACTTGATAACACATTGTTTTTAAATCATAAAAATTGTTTATTATATGTATTTTAATGTTTGTAAAGACATAAAAACTGTCTTTATTATTAAGTTTATTATTATAATATCCTTAGTCGGTTGTTGATCGAGATGACTACTTAGTATCGTTCCGCTTGGCCATTTTTTTATTTAGAATTTGCTTTATCTCATTTAAGGAACCAAAAGAATATCTCCATTACTCAGAAAATACGGCGAGGAAACATTTTTCAAAGCTATAGAATTTTGGTACGGTTCCGCATCCGGACGCAAATGGCGGAAGCGTTCGGCTTGCGCAATTTAATTGAACTTCGTTTATAACTTGTGTGTCCGGTGGTTCCCAAAGTGGGCGCTATTGCCCCCGTGGGCGGCGAATAAATGTGAGGAGGCGTCGGGGGCGCTGAAGGCAGGAACCTGACCGAACGCGAGGGTTGGGATCACCGACAATATTTCCCTTTCCTGTGTTAAAATGGGTAAGAAGAAACGTGGCGTTTAATGGTTTCCATATTTGAAAACAATATACTGTACGGTAAGTGCGAGGTTCGTTAAAACTTTTCCTAGGAATATTTCCAAGCCTTTCACACTCGAGGGACAATGGGTTAGGTTGGGGAGAGTTTGGTAAAAGTTTATGTTAACGAGGGTTTAGTGGCTCGAAACAGATTGGGAACCACTGGTCTATACCGTCACCATCCGCCATGTTGTCCCGGTAGGGTTAGTCTGACGAGTGAGTAGCGTTCGATGGGAACGTAACATATTAACTAGGGGAAAGGGAGAAGTTAACGTTACCGTAACATGGGGGAAAAAATGAACAAGAGTTCCGATCAACCTGCTGGGAAAAAGGATCGGACATAACTACGTAGTTCCCAGTCGTGCTTGACTAGGAATTATGTAGTTATAACATATTTACTTTTGTTACGCAGTTCTTATAGGTTATATAATAGAGTAAAAATATAATAAACGTACAATAAATACGTATTAATGTATTCGTGCGCGCGTATGTTAAATGTTCGTAGGAGAAATTTAGAAAAAACGTTCATACCTTTTTAATTACACCAAAAATGATTGTCTGAATTTTAGTAATTACTTCATCTTCGGCATTTCGTAATATTTCCCAAATTGTATCGTGACATTTACCGGCTGCAGACTGCCCTTGATTTTGCTCGATGGCGTGCAATATTGCATCTAATCCCAGTTCTTCAGGCAAGGGTTGCATTGCTTGAAGTACGTGTTCTATATTATTTACAGTTATACAAAGCTGTAACAAATTATTATTATTATTAAACATTTGAATTGAAAAGTCAGATAGCATTATGAAGTTTTAATACGTCACCTCTTCGGATACTTCATATTTTCCCTCTTCCGTTAATTTTACGTCACTTAATTTATTATGGCTGAGATTTGCATAGTATACTGCACCGTCACAGACTATCTAGAAAAACAGAACATAATAAGCAATTTTCAAAAGATATTAATTCGTATTACATCGGTTTAGGTGGCAATAGACTAAAATACAACATTAAACTATTATTTTTCAGCTGTAAATACTGATTTCGTTATTGTAAGAGTACTGTCGTGTACCGTACAATACATGGCGCCTCTAGGCTCACTGCATTTTAGACTTAGTTTTGTACGTACTGTACATTGCATAATATTGAGACTACGTGGTAAACTAAGAAAAATACTAATCTACGTTTGCTTAAATTTAAAAAAAAAATTGTGGTATTACGGTTGCAAAATTTATTATCGTTCCTTCCAAATCGAGTCGCTTATGAAATATACGTTGACATTGTCTGCTACCTGTTTCGAGTCATGGCTATACTCAAATATGTTTTGTATCGGTTTCAATTCGGAAAAGCTCCTTTCCGCGGACGACATCAAAAATTGCGTATGAGCGGAAATAAATTGGTTTATAAAACATTAATTTGTTCACAACTCGAGAGAATTTTTATGTCAAAATGACAAATAGAAATCTTACAGTATTTCGTCAACTAAATCTGTTCCTGATTTGGCAATGTTTTCTTTATCACTTACTGAAATTTGTGCAGCGCGCAAAACATTACGATCAAATCGATCCTGCAATAAATTTATGTTTTAGGATAAGATAATAGGAAATCATTTAAAATGTTTTTTCACCGTCTTTCAATTGTCTTATTTCGTACGGAAGGATTTTTTTTCGTCCTCGAGATCTGTTCGCGTTGTTGCGATGTTTGAATCGATAATACTATAATTAATTCTAAATAAGAATGCAGTTTACCAATGTTTTGTCATACGTCAACTGGAAAAATAGAAGAATATTTAACATTAATTTCAAATTAAGCGAATAGTTTATATATTTAGCGTTCTTGAGACTGCGCCCACTCGGTCCTACCCTAGATCCGGCCATAGTTAAGGTAAACACGACATTCAAAAATAATCCAACATTACAGTTATAATGATCGCAGTGTTCGTCGTAAGTGCAGTAAGATCGTAATCGAAGAAAAAACTTACTTCAATAATCTTAAGGGCGTATTGGTAAGAACCAGCTAAATCGGGCCAAGCTAATTGTCTCCAAAACTCTTTTATCTATTTAATAAATAAACAAATAAATACATGTTTTTAAAATATTTACGTGGAAAACTAATGCCATAAAATTCCGCGTGTACTTACTTGCGCAAAACATGTCGTAACATCAATTGCCGATGTACTACATTTAACGTAAGAATCCATGAATGTTACCTTAAAAAATAAAGCGTAGTATTAATAATAATTACTGTATTTGTTAATTGAATTAGTTTAATTTTCTGTACTATTATGCTCAAACAATACGCAATATTAACAAATTCTTGACATTTTCAATAATCTTCAACTTCTCTGTTCGAGACGAGGAATACGCAAGAAAAAGTGACAATCTGAATGTATTACTGTATTTTTAAGACGACAAAATGGCATTCTATGTAAAAACATGGCTCAAAAGAATCATTCATAGAATATTATATTATTTTACCGTTATTTACATTTATCAATGGACTGTATATTTTCAACTACCTCTATCTTTGTTTGCCATGTTGTGAAACCATAAAAAATGACGCTGACAAACTTTACTTTTGTAATTCGTGTGTCAATAAATTATATTAAGCTATACATTTTAAAATACTACGCTGTTATCGGTAGAAAAAACCTACCAGATTTACGTGTCGGAGTGAAGAAAGAAACGCCCAATGGCTAGAAATGCTGCATAAAAATGGCAACTCTTGCTCTTCAAAATACAGATTTTTTTCATAAATGAGGACGTTTGACAACTTTGAATAAATTAATGGTTGTGAAAAAAGGCAAATTTAATGCGCTTTTTGAAATAAAGACATTAACAAATTTTACAAAATTCGTAACTATTGACACGTACTTTTTTAAAATACAGTAATAGTTTTTAAGATGAAAATTTTACTATTAAAAATACGACTTTTATAAATTACAAGTTCTACTAGAAACCAAGTAAATTTGCTATTTGATGTCAGTTTTCCTTCTAAACGATTCTTGATTTTTTTACACTAAAAGCAGAATGCTTCTCGCTAATTAATTAATAATCATGCAACAGGTTTATGGATATTTTGACACGCTTTACATATATTGTAATTTCACAAAAAAATGTTTAAATGCTTACCTTCTACAGCGAAGCATTAAAATATATGGAATAAATTAAAATCGTTTTTAAACATGTTACGAAACTAAAAATAATGTATGGATAAATTAGAAATATATTTACTTTATCCAACTCTACAGCTTTCTTAATTCTCTGTCTGGATTTTATTTTGGCAATTTGAAACCATTGACGAACAGAATTGGAAAACCATAGATAAAAGTTTGTAATGGATAAATGCTTTCTTTCTCTGTTAAAAGAACATAAATTTATGTTAAAAAATTTCTCTTCCAAACAATTTGTAAGTGTAAAGGAATTCTAACTCTTACTCTAAAGGAAGATTTTCTCTGAATCGTGAAAATTCCTGAAGGGCCATGTACAGTTCGAACATCGATGTTCCCATCGTAAGCACGTTAGAAGTCGATCTGCTTAACGAGTTTGTTTCCGACACCTGATTACACACTTGTTCCACCTGATTACCGAAATTTTTCTCTGCCATCTAGAAACAATTTTTTCGCATCAAATTTCTGTCTTTTAATAAGTTAAATTTGTAGCCTATTTTATATTAATACACGAACCTCATTCTGTAGCCTAATTGCTACATCATCTGAGAGCTTGCATTTATTATAACAATAAAAATCATTTTAAAATACGAAAATAATAATTCGAAAGAAAGGGAACTTACCAGTTTTTCGATCTGCTTGTATGTCACCATTGCATAATTTACACCAACAATGCTAATAAAAAATAATAAAATTCATAAATAATTGCATTTGTAAATGGCGAATTCGTAACGAGTCTATTGTTTATGACACTTATTGTTAGATTCAAGCATTGCCACTTTAAAACACTGTATCGACTTCGGTGCAACCGGATAAAACCATAAAGGTTGGTTCACACTATACGTATGTACACCTCCTTCCAGTATAGCGTTAACGTAGCAATAACTGTTTTCAGAAAGTAAATATACATGCCGCATTGCGTAGCCATTCGGCCTATACATTTTAACGACGTTTTAGATCATTGATAAATCCTTTATAGTTTAATTAGAGCTAGTAATAATCTAAACTATAAACTATCTTTTCTTACCTTTCAAACAATTGGTTGTAGTAAAGTAATCCTTCTTGAATGTCTTTATTCAGAATATGTACTAAATCTAACAGATTTTGAAGAGAAATATCTTTTTTCTGAAACAAATACATTTTCTGTTATACAAATTCAATGTAAATAGTTTTAAACTTAAAACTCACCTCGGATGTCGTTTGTTCGTACCATGTATGAAAAGATTCTCCAGTTCCTTTCTAGCAAAATGTATTTTATGCTTGTTATACGACAAACTCTTAAGAAAAAAAGAATAGAGAAGAAATAAATACCTTTAATGAATTTATAACTTCCACGTGAAGTTCGTGTCTGAAGGGACAACACCATTTAAATGCTTGCAAATTGTGAATCAATGACAGGCATCTGGAATGATTGGCAGAGAAATCTTCAGAAACGTCTGAATAATTTGTGAATGTTTTACAGAGTGTTCGAAATATTGTAAAACGGTATTCGATTTGATAAAGTTTAAAATTTTTTTTTATTTATTTAAAATTGAAATGGAAGGTAAAGTTTTCGAAGCTACGAAAAGTAAGAAACACTAGAAAGATTCTTGTGCCTAAAATTTTTGAAAGTAGACAAGTTCTCTTCAAAAATGATAAATTTAACTACAGAATTTTTGTTTCTCCAATCCTTAAATTGGATATAGGCCTACATTTTATAATTTCATCCATCTTCAGAGCAAATTACGAGATTTATTTTTTACGTATATTCAAAAAACAAATTTTTAAAAAGATTTTTATGAATATTTCTAGAGACTAACCAAAATGTTGTTTTCGAAAAAATTATTATAAAAAAGCCGTATATAAAATGTATACGTCGTTCCGAAATGGATTTTGCATTAGGGAATCGATCAGCTTTCTTACTGCACCATACTTTACGTAAATCTTAAAACAGTTATAAAATGTGCATTAATGGTGTACAAAAAAGTATATTTTCATTTCAGGTGTATTCATTTGGTTCGAACGGTGCATTCCTTTGTGTCAAATTAATGTCATTACTACGCTTTCTCACGATAAAACAATGAGAATGACGTCAATTTGACGTAAAGGCGTACATCGTAAGCCTAAATTATATACCTAATTTTTAGGATTTTATGCGTTATGCTGATAAAACAGTCTTACTTGAGCAAATGAACTAATTTGTTCTGCGCTTGTTCATTAGCCGGTGGAAAGAGCTCTCGATGTTTCTGCAGCACTTCCAGACAATAATCCAAAAACATATTGAAAGAATCCGCAACCGCTGCCTCCTAATGTACAGTTTAATCCGTTATTTGTTTATTAATTTTTTTAATGGAATGCTAAGACCGGAAATCGTTACCGACCTCGTCTCTAGATAAAGGATTTTCGATATCTCCCCAAGACTTGTTAAAATCTTCCAAAAGTTGATAAAGTAGAGCATAATCGAGCGATACCTCCATGTGTTTTCGACTATACGTGACCCAACGGCTGCAATTATTATATTTTAATTTATATATAACTATTAATAATTTATAAGAAACAATAGAAGGAAACTTTCTCTTACCACATCGCCTGTTGTAATTCGGTAAGATCTCCTTGAATAGCGTGTTGATGCAGAATAGTCAGTGCCGCTTGCGATAAATCTCCCGCCCACTCGGAAGTCGGTCCCTAAAATAAAAGAATTTAATGAATATTAACACGAATTTTTAAATAATGCTGCGAAATATTTAATAATATCTACCATGTAGATATTAAATCTACCTATCCAGCTTTCAAAGATTTCATTGTGCCGAGGAATTTTGAGAGCTAAATGCACTAAGAAAAGTACTCGAACCGTAAATGCTAAACGTTTGAAGTTTAATCCTCACTAGGTTACTTATTTTACACTTTATTCCTCAATTTTCCCTGTGGATACTAAAAACTCCTATTTTAATCATTCTGGTTTCGGCCAGGACAACGTGGAGGCTATAAGGTGACGAGGAACAGATTCGTCGTATAAATTATAACTTTATTTCTGTACACTAAAAGTATACAAATTGCCTTTCAATAGCGAGTCTTTAATTTCGGTTCGACTTAGTACTTGACAATTCTATCAATCGTAGTATCGCTTTTACGTAACCACCCTAATATTAATGCTATTAATAATCGATAATTTCTTTTTCTGAAGAAAAATTCAAAAATATCCACGTAACAAAAGTTACATTAATAGAAAGCATTACACAATCTAACAAATCAATATATTAATGACCAAAATTGAAACCGGGAAAAGACGAGTAAAATGAAGCATGAAATTTTTACGAAGCCCCAGAAGAAACGGAGTGAGACCAAATAAATGTTGCCATATGCGACAATATTCTTATATACATTGTTTGTTGCAGGAAATGCCAGAGAAGTCGTAGGGAAAATATATAACATACAAGATTAGGAAGGTTGAATACATCTGAAAGTCCCTCCTCCTCCTAGATGATCCTTCAGGCTTATTGCAATCAAGCCTATTGTTTCAACCATTGTTTGGTTGAAAAACTTCATGTACTGTAGATAATCTCGCTTTCTGTTGTATTACAGGTATATTACATCGTGTTAAAATTTGTCATGGCTGCTGAAATATCAAATCTGTTTACTTTTACTTTAAACGAACTTCCTTCCTAGCTTTTGCATTGTATCTACTCTTCTTCTGGTACTTTGCTGGTAGAAATGTATCACTTTCTATTTGTGATACGAGGATTAAATGAAATAAGTTTTATCCTGATTTGCTTTTCTCCATTTTGGATGCTTTCTTTGCAAGATGAAATAATGTCGTCAAAGCGCGATCATAATTTTTTGAGAATTTAATTAATATTTTATACATTGTTGCCTCTCAGCTTTAGGGTGCGCATCCCTGTGTTCTAGTCAGAACAGAGTGACCCGTTTTTAACCGGAGAGCCACATATTAATCCCAGTTCTTTTGAAATAAAGAGATAAGGTAACGCAACACTTGGGCGATCTGCCAAGGGAAGACCCGGGAGGATTTTTTATGGGATACTGGGCCATACTTAGGTGTTAGACGTGAGAAAACCTGAAAAACTCCACGTGGCCAACTTTTTGGCGAGACGCGAACCCACGACCAATTAGCGTTCAGTGGCCGTTCTCCAGTGTTCTCGGCCGCTAGTGGCACCTTATTTCAAATACCGCAAGATTGCGTGATCTACTGTACTGTACATTGCTTAAGTGAATACATTTAGCGTACATACGCTATTAATACAGAAAAGTCATAAAAGATTATTTTCTCAGTACACTGCATTCTTAAATTACAACGAATTTTTGTTCTCGTTTCTTCTATTTTTCAAGTAAAAAGATAACTCTTGAAATAACTTATTAGTCAGATCTCTAGAAGCCACCGTAACGAATGTGTCCCGGGACAATGTCCCCTTATGGACTGTTTCTTCGAAACCGACTCTTTGTTACGCTGAAATGATCGCCTGACGTCATTATTGATATTTGAAACACTAATAAATCGAGAATAATTAATGTTTGCAATCTAATACATATTCATTCGACACTCGAAAAGTTCTATTGTAAATTAATGTAACTTAAAACTACTCGTACGAGAAAGCGAGTTTTTTCACGATAGTTTCTGTCTCAAACGCTTTACTGAAATAACATTTAAAAAAATTAAGTTAAATAGAACTTAAACAGAGAAAATTGCTTTCTTAATTGTGTAAAATGCGAAAAAAAGTAATTTAAATATTAATGTTTTAAAAAACCTACGCATTATTGATTCTTTTGTTCAAGTAAAAGAATGCAAATTATGTAAAATTTGTCAATACGCTATCGAAAAGACTAAAGAATACAGATTAATTGTTTAATTATTCATTAATAAATGCTGTAATCCCTTTCAAAGTAAAAAATTTAATACATTTTTTCGTTAATATCAATCAACTGGAAGAAAATTTAATCAGAAATTAACTTTTTTGTTACATAATCAAAATTATTACAAATAAAAATTGAAAAATGATAAATGATTTTTAAATTAATTATTTGTATGCTTTTTTCGGTGTGTTTTCATTTTCAGGCTGATAGTTGATCCGGATTCGAGTATGACCAGCTGGGTGGTCACGTGGAGCTTTTGGGGTTTCTTTACGTGTCTAACACCCGAATAAGGTCACTTTCCCGTAGTCGATCGCGACTCCTCCTTTGGCAGATCGCGCACGTAGTGTTTCAAGACCGACCAGTTGCCTGGTAAAAACTTTTCAAAAATCTCCAGTAAACTGATGATACGCAGTAAATCGGGCGATAAAAAATAGTTAGTGTTATTTGCAGCAATGCGGGCTTAATTTAATTCTATTTAAAGTTTATAGCGAGAAAAAGTATCCAATAACAGGTTAATTGTAACGCGGATTCGTCTTTGCCTATCGAATCTTGACGATATTCAAACGGTTCAATTACTTTTACCGTCGCTGCTTATAGTTGTAAAATTTATTTAATTCTGTAAGTTTTTATCCCGTTCTACAATTTTACGAACGCGTTGATGTGGAAATTGAATTTTAAGATTATTTTAAAATTTTCTTCTTCATAAATCAATCAGGTTTATGAAAAAAACTTTTTTTTAACTTGTTTTATGGAGAAAACAAAAACAGTTTGTGTCCAAAATTAATATAGTCCTCAGCTCTATTTTTTATGTTCTCGTGTACCATTAGCTCTTCATTTAATGCGGATTATAACATCGTTCCGAAGACACTTTAAACTTTAAATGAAACGCTGGTTATCAGCTAAGCTGATTTAAATTTATTTTTGAGAATTTTAGCTGAAATTGTTTATTTTCTGATGCACTTAAAAAAGATGACAAAGGAGCCCGAGGTAGAGCGGGCTTTTTTTTGAAGAAATAAAATACGTAAAATGTACCTTTATGAATAAAAAGTAGTCTAAAACATTTAATCTTTTCTTAGTAAAAATAATATCAATTTTAATAATCAATTTTACCACTACCACCCCTTAGTCTCGCGAAAAATCCCTAGCTTTTTTCCCTCTCGAGGGCCGTGTTTGCATCACGCAGCCTACTCTGTGATTAGCCTACATATTCTTGTATGCCTCATCTCTATTTCGCACAAATAAAACTGGGTAAAACGAGTCACCCTAAAATCGAGGTAGTAGTCGAATAAATTTTTTAATTTGTATTTTTGTATGTTTATAAGTCGAGTGTATTTTTTATATATGAATTTCCTTGGCATTTTTTCGGTTACACAACATACATACATGAAAGACATCGGCCTTATGCAAAGTGTTTAGCCGGCAGAAAAAAGGGTAAGGGATAGGGGAAGAAGGGGGGAGAGGCGATAGACAGTAGAGCAAGGCTACTATACCCTCTATGCGAGCAGTTTTAGGTTGCGAGGCCGTAGTTCCTCGGAGGATCTAAAAGAAAATCCGAGTGTAGCGAACACCACTAATTCAGTGCCGCCAAGAATAGCTAAGTGTAGAAGTTAGTGCCAAGTGGCGGTTACTATGAAGACTTATATCTACTTAATACTAATAATACTAAACGCTAGCGCGAATTTTAATACTATGAACAGCTAGGCATAGTCTGAAAACGAGCGCAACGACAAACTAGACTAGACGAACGGACCGACAGAAGACAAACGAGCAAGACCCTAAATTGTTTATTTATTATTATTATTTTTTTTTTTAAACATCAACTCACTCACTAACTAAACTAACCTATCATAACCTAGGACAAACCTAACCAGACGACTAAAGCTAACAAACCCTAATCTAATTTAACCTAACCTATCGTAACCAAACTGGAAACCAAGCCGAGTCCCTAATCTAACGTCAACTAGGACTAACTTAAACTAACCGAATTTAGACCGAAAAAAGACGGAAAATAAGGATTAAAATACAAAGTTAAAAGGCAGGTATATACCGACGGTTGAGACAAAGCGAGGGAAAGCTAATTGCCATCTGTGCCCCCGGAGTGAATACTCTCGAGAGCCCCCCTTAGGGATACGAACGTGAGTAGATAATGGAACATTGTACGCGTGCGAATGAGTTGGTGTGGCCAGTTGTACCCTTCGAGAATAGGGATAGTTTAATGAGAGCTGCTAATGTGATTGCACCTATTGCAGCGAAAAACTTAGTGAAGCTATGTTTGGTCCTCCCGAATACCACAATCGCAGTGTAAATTGTTCCCGAGGTTAAATCTATGCAAGTATTGCTTACACAAGTTTATTTTTATTTTCTGTTTTGGAACATTAGAAGATTCCGACTAACGAGGAGGTTATTCGGATCTCCTTCCTCTCTGGTGACTAGTCTTTTACTTTTTATATTTTCCGAAATACCTTGTTTGACCTTTTATTACTAAAGTAGTTGGCGTGTCAAAGAAGCGTAAAATTGCTGCCGCATCGATTCGAGTTATCTATATAATTTGACTTGTGTCAGTTTAATAAGTATAAATAGTTGTTCGATAAATATTGTTTGCTTCATATACGTGTAATAAATTAGGGTATGTTTTCAAATAAAAGAAATTAAGAAAATAACATATGATTAAGTTAAAAATAAATGACTAATTAATCTAGAAATATAATAGTTGCATTTTATTTATTCATTTATGTATAACAACTAACATATAGGTAAATACAAAGCAGATTCTCAATAGCCGAGCATCCCTTATTAACATTATGTTTATCCCCTCCTAC